AGGTTCTGACAGAAAACTTCAGGAATGGCAGAGGCCCCAACTTTAAACTGGCTTCAAGAATTTATGCTGTATTTTCATGCACAAGAGGTTTCACAGCCTGAGAAATTCCCAGCCAGCTGGCACACTGCTGAGTGGTCATCCCACGGAGACTCTGCCTCCACTGTCGGGGTTTGGATGACCCAGGGAGCCAAAAGGGAGGCAGACAGAGCAGATTGTCCCTGCTCCAGCCAGCTCTGGGTAGGAGGGGAATCCAGGATTCCATAATTAACTACAATGAAAACTCATGTCATTCATTTCATAGTCTCTTTAATTTTGCTTGGCCATGTGCATTGTGGGAACTGCTAAGTTAGAGACTGGCCCATATGACATGTCCATTTCATTGATTATATTTCCTTAGAATGAGGATCAGAGTACTTTCCCAAAATTGATAGGAGTCAGTTTCAGAATCCTTCGTTCCTAAATACCAGTAGATCCAGAGTTTAGGGTGCTGGAGTAGGAAATCTTTGTTCTGTTCATCAAATTGCATCATCATGGTGCTATCAGATATTCTTCCTGGTGTCACTCCAAGTAGAAGTAATGCTTTGGGACCATGAGCACTAAATAGATTTGGGGTAAATTGAGGACTCTTCCATGCCTGTCAGAACAGGGATGTTTTGGCTGCAAGTTGGTTCCTGATGGGTGAGAAGGGGTGTCTCAGCCTTGCCATAAAGGACGCCTTGATCCTCTGTGTTTCCCCAGCCGCCCTGGCCTTCCAGATTCACCAGGATGAGTACCCAGCACCCACAGACACTACAGAAACTGGCAATTCAGAGCTTGCTGAGGGACAAGGCCTTGGCCATGGAGGCCGTGGAACATCTGCCAGGAGCGCTCTTCCCACCAGTGTTCATAGAGGCCTTCACTGGGGGACACGCTGAGGTCCTGAAGGCCATGGTGCTGGTCTGGCCATTTCCCTGCCTGCCCCTGGGATCCCTGATGGAGATGAGGACAACAGGTACTTTGGACACTCAGAAGAATGTTTACCGGATGAAGGAAAGAATGTTTCAAACTGTGCTGGAAGGCATTCATGTGCTGCTGAGCCAGAAGGTTTGCTCCAGGTGAGTGTGACCCAGGTTCCCTGGAGGGAGGCCCTGGGGTTCCAGGAAGGGATAGAAAGTATCAGGAGAGTGGGGGCTCAAGGATGAAGCAGAAGCTTCTGTTGGTGACTGGCAGAAGATCAAAGAAGCCTTCTGCATTGCGGGGCCACCTGGGCGTGCACTGCCAGATGGGGAGGTGAGCTGAAGGTGGAGGCTGCAATGCAGGGAGCAAGAGGCTCCTGACTCCTCCCACAGGCACCGGGATTCAGAATGGTGCTGTAACCAAGGGGAAAAGAGAAGCAGAAAACTGCAGCATAGAAAGAGGGAGAAGATAGCAACAGACCTCAGAGATGAGGAAGGCAGAGGAGGAAAGTGGCTCCTGGCTGGAATTCTCAGATTCTTTACTGACTCACCCACAGGAGGTTCAAATTGCAAGTGCTCGATATGCGGGCTGTGCACCAGAACGTCTGGACAGTCTGTGCTGAAAACATGTTGCAAGGCTACTCCTCAGAAGCCATGAAGAGGATAAAAACAAGGAAGAGTCTGCCAAGGGTGGCAGAAAAGCAGCCCCTCAAGGTGATTGTAGATCTGTGTATCATGAATGAATGGCTGGATCCAGTGGTTAGCTACCTCCTCAACTGGGCCCAGGAGATGGAAAACCGGGTGCACCTGGAGTGTCCGAAGCTGTGTATCACGGGCCTGTGCATTGAACAGGTCACAGAAGTCCTCAGGAAACTGAATCTTTATTCTGTGCAGGAGATGGATGTACTTTTCTCCTGCTCAATGTTTTCCTTGGCTCATTTTGCCCCTTTTCTGGGACAGATGACAAATCTTCACAAACTATTTATCTCTCACATCTTTGTGCCGGCCACCATTTCCCCAGAAATGAAAGAGAAGCTGTTCACCAAAATCACCTCTCAATTTCATAAGCTTCACTGTCTACGGGAGATTTATATGGACTCCGTTGAGGTCCTTGAAGGTCATTTGGACCAGGTGCTCAGGTAAGATGTGGAGCTCTCACTTCAGTCAGAAGAGACTTGCTCTGTTCTAGAAAGATTATGGGCATGGACAGTGTGCCACCCACAGGAGGTGAGACAGAGATCCAACACTAGAGAATCAAAATATTTATTCATTGCTTTTCCACTCCTCAGTCCTTCAGCATGGTGTCACATGGGCCCTGTAATTGAGTAACCAGACTGCAAAGGGCCACTATGCTATAATGTCAGGAGGTGGGGTCAGATACAGTGAGGGCAGATGCGTGACTTCTTCCTCAAGAAGCCCGCCTAGGCTAAGGTGCTGAGAATGCCCCAGACCTCTCTGATCCCCCCAGCAGTCAGCATGAGGAGGCTGTGCCCGTGCATGGGCTGCTGGCCTGATGGGGAGAGCAGGAGACTGAAGCTAATGTCAAAGGACTGAGGTGCAGCACAGGGAACAAGGATGCACACTCTGCTGACAGCCTTTTGGACAACCCCAGCAACTGTGTCCAGATCTTCCCTGATTTTTCATTCCTGCCTGATTCCTGCTGCCCTCAGCAGGAAAGAGCTGTGGTTCCCGATTGAGCGTCAGGATAGGGGACTGTAGAGATTAAAGACTCAGACACATAAGCAAGTCATGATAATGTCACACAGATACATAAGGATGGGATAGTAATGTCTCACATAAGTTGTTCTGACTCATGTAACACTTGGTGCACCATATTGTTTTCCACCACTCACTCATTTTCACCACCAATTGACAGATCTAACTGCTTGGATTTCTACAGGTGCCTGAAGTGCCCCTTGGAGACCCTGTCATTAAGGGACTGCCAGCTTTCACAGGATGACTGGAACCAGCTACCCCAGGCTGAGCAGACCCGACAGCTAAAATCCATGGGTCTGATTTGTATCAGGCTGACTGATTTCAGTCCTGAGCCCCTGCGAATTCTGCTGGATAATGTCGCAGCCACCCTGACCACCCTGCGTTTGGAAAACTGTGGGATCACAGATGCGCAGGTCTGCGCCTTTCTGCCTTCACTGAGCTGCTGCTCCCAGCTCACCACCTTCTGCTTCATAAGGAATTTCATATCCATAGCCACCATGAAGAAGCTGCTGGGCCACACTGCCAGGCTCAGGAGCTTAAACAGGGAGCTGTACTCTGTTCCTCAAGAGGTTTATGTTCCCAGGGATGGTACTCTTCAGCAGATGTGGAACGAGGTAAAACAAGCACTTAGGGAGATGATGAAACCACTAAACCACCCCAGGACAATCTTGTTTTGTGTTTCCCATGAACTCTTTCGCCAAAGGGCAGTGTACTACATGCACCCGAACCCATGCCCAACCTGTATCCCCATCTAGTTGAATGCGCATTTCCCTTGCTTCGTTCTGGCCCCAGGAACACAGAGCTCTTCTTTCAGTGTGACTGAGAAAAGGACAGCTTGGTAGCAGGCAGCAACCTAGGAGAATCATGGACCTGAGAGTGGAAATGTCTTCTGTGGACCTGAGTCCTACACAGGGTCAGAAACTGGAATTTGAGTTGTTAGATGCTAATTCAGGCTTCGCACCAATGTGTGCCCAGGTGTAAAGGAATGATCAGAAATAAACAGAGTTGTGTGTGAATCATCTGGTGTCTTCCACGATCATTTAACCTGGTTTCCAGCTAAAAGCTCATGAATCTGTAGTCATTGAGGAGAAAAAGCCTGAGTGTTCCAATCAGTGAGGTTTGGCCTCAGGAACTCACAGCAGTAAACAGATATTCCATACTATATATTCCCTTCCCACCTGTAGTTTTCTCTAAGCACATTTTCCCTCCATGTTTCCTGGTTTTTTCCCTGCTTCCTAACACACCCATGTCCCTGGGACTCATTGCAGAGCCTTGTCAATGAGTGGTAGCCAAAGAGCTTTTGGTTTTTTGCCAAAGTCCTCCTGAATGTGTAGACTGTGCTGGCACTTGAGCTATCCTCAGTCCTAATGTTCCAGAGTGATCCAATAACAGCTGTGGAGATTTATGCTCAGTGTTTTCTTCCTGATTTCTGTACCTTTCTGTTGGGTTACTCGATGGTTGCCAGCAGGAAATGCATTTCAGAGACCAACTCTCTAAAGTAGGGCTCCTTTGGGAAGTGCAGGGTTTGTGATCAGGAGCACACCTGCTGTGGGGGGCCCCTGCTGAGCCCGAGGTAGAAGAAACAAATGGGAAGCTTCCAGGGAAAATGAGGCCATGAGAGCTGCTGTGATAACAAATTTTGTGGTGACAGGATCCTGTGGCACAAGGGCCACAATCAAGGCCTGGAACACTGTAAGAGTAATGGGAAAAACTAATTCACTGGGACTCTTAGTGTCACGTGACACCAAAATCCTTGACACTGGTCATGGGTGGATTGAGCAGACTCAGGTTTTGGTCCTGGGCTGTGCAGACAAAGTGCTTCACTGCCCAAGGGAAGGCTGCCCTCTGAGGGCTGCAGTGACACCACACTCTACACAAATAAAGCAAAACAAAACAAGGAACAGAGAAGCAGGTTAGGGGACCAGCACAGGGCTTGATCACCAGTGTCAAGAAACTGAAGAAATCAAAACAAAAAGCTCCTGGATCTTTTCAGTTTAGTTTACTTGAATTTCTGAACTGCTTTTTGCTCAAATAGAACTTTCCTCAGCCTCCTGTTATTCTTCCAACTGAAAGCCCTGGCCACTACCTGTGGATGCACCCTGCCTGGGAAATGTTCCCTGAGGGAAGAACCCTGACACTAAAGACAAAGGTCATTGGTCAGATCCACTAGGATGACCAGGTCGTGGGATTGGACCCATGTTTCCTCCTCTGCAACCACCCCAAGGAGACTTGGAAATGTATGAACATCTCATCTGCCCATAGGAACTGCCCTCTCAGCTCCATGTCCACTCCTGTCTTAGATTTCACCTTCTCAAGCCAGTTTCCTCAGCTGATCACATTGGAAACACCCTTTCCCACTTGTAGCATCATAGACTAAGTGTCCCTGAAGTTCCCTCAGGGATAGAGTTGGATGCTATTATCTATTTATTTTTCATTTATTTATTGCATCTCCTTGTGACAGGGTCTCACCATGCCTTTCATGGGAACCTTGATCTCACATTATCGTCCAGCTGGTACCAAAGTCGCTATGATCCTTCTCTCTCAGCCTCCTGAGTGCTGGGATTATAGGCATGTGCCACCATGCCTGGCAAGTGCTGGATCTTAAGTGTCACAATTGAAGTATATGTTGTCATTCATGCCTGGGATATCAGCAAGTTTTTAAGCTGAGATATAATGATCCTATTGTGTGTCTTGTTTGTTGGTTTCTTGAGAAATGGTCTGCCTGTGTATATCAGGCTGGCCTGACACTCACTATGTAGCCCAAGTTGTTCTCAAAATCATGGTGATGCTCCTGCCTCAGCCTCCTTACTTCTGGTATAACAGTCCTGTATCACTCCACCCAGCCTAGGATCTGGAGTGTGCAGCAAGACTGGGAAACATCTTAAGATCCTACCACTAAAATTTAAATATGCTGGGTTGCAGCTCATCACCTCCTGACTTCAATCACTGGTGCTGTGGGGAAAGTCAACCTTGTCTCTTTGTAGCAACTTCCATTCAGTGTTTAGCCTCATACAGAGGAATTTTCTAGTCTTTAGACCCAATCCTCAAATTACATGGGTTCAGTTATGTGTTCGTCAGAGGGTCTCGGTAAAAACAGAGATTCACCTATACAGTAACCTGCTCACCTCTCCTTCTCACAGGGGTCCAATAACCCTGACCTTAATCTGAGCATCTCTCACACCTTCAGTGGCTCCCCTGTGCCACCCTGCTTGTGCAAACTCTCTGCTGTCAAATGTGACACAATCCCAGGTCACAGTTTCATACAGGTTTCTGATTTGTTCTCCTTGGCGATGACATCACTGTCTTTATACAGCTGTCATAAACTTGTTTTGTTTCTTGGTGGTGGACTTTGAACTGAATTTACAGTCTCTGCATTGATCCACATTCTCAGCATATTTTTATTTTATTTTTCAATTTTAATATTGATTGATGGTGGTTCTGACTCATGAACTCAGAGCCTATGCTCTTAATGCTTACTCAGCTTTATGTATTTGCTTATTTTAAGACTAGTGTCACCAGGGTTTGTGATACTTGCTTATAATCCAGGCACTCAGGAGGCCGAGGCAGAAAGATCACAGCAAGGTGAAGACCAGCCTGGGGTGCACAGTGAGTGCAAAGCAAAGCCAACACTCACTGTACACTGAGACTCTGCTCAAATAAGGAAAAAAGAAAAACCTGGACTCTGTCTAAGTGGCTATGTTGCCCACGTTGGATTCGAACATTTTAATCCTTTGACTTGGCTTTTCAGAATGCTGTGAGTGTACACACCTGCCCCCATAACTGCCTACGTTTGTTCTCCACTATAATGCTGGGGCTTCCACCCAGTGCACTAACCAGGGCTTGCCAGGGAAACAGTATAACACAGAACACATAATTTATAAGATTATTTAATAATAGTGACCCAAAGATTCATGTACAAAAGAGTGCAGGCCATCTGTCCATACAGCAAAAATCCAAAGATTCCAGGTGAGGGCCGAATCCTACAGCAAATTCCTGCAGGAGCCCAGCTAAAGCCTCAGACGTTGCCCCTCAGGAGTGCAACTGGAGGCCTAGAGCCCATGACAATGTCTCATCAAGTCTCTTTCATGGATGTGTGCTGGGAAGGCCCAAAGTTCAGTGTTGGAAAATAGAAAGTCTGTGTCAGTGGGATGAAAGATCTGTGCCAGCAGGCTGAGGCATCTGCACTGGAGCTAGGAAGTGATGCTCAGAGAAAGGACCAGAGCTCCCCTAAAGAGAACCACAGCCATTTTCAGTGTAAACAGATTCCTGAGCTCCTTGGATGGTAACAGCACCCCACTTCCGATCAGGAATATCAGCATGGCAAGCTCCTCCTGGGGAACCAAGAGCCCCTCTTCTTCCAGTCTAGTTCTCCTTCGTATGTTGTTGGCAACGATCCTCAGGGGACCTTCCACACCCAGCACCGCACTGA